GAAAGCAGAGTGTTTTTGTAGTGTGTGGGTAGTGTGCGTAAAGTGAATGCTGTATATACTAAATGCAAAGTGTGTGTGTTTGTGTAGTGTGTGTGTGTATAATGAATGCAGAGTGTGTATGTATTTGTGTAGTGTGTGTATAGTGAACGTAGTGTGTTTATATACAGTTGCAAGAAAAAGTATGTGAACCCTTTGGAATGATATGGAATTCTGCACAAATTGGTCATAAAATGTGATCTGATCATCATCTAAGTCACAACAATAGACAATCACAGTCTGCTTAAACTAATAACACACAAAGAATGAAATGTTGCCATGTTTTTATTGAACACACCATGTAAACATATGAACCCTTGGATTTAATAACTGGTTGAACCTCCTTTGGCAGCAATAACTTCAACCAAACGTTTCCTGTAGTTGAAGATCAGACGTGCACAACGGTCAGGAGTAATTCTTGACCATTCCTCTTTACAGAACTGTTTCAGTTCAGCAATATTCTTGGGATGTCTGGTGTGAATCACTTTCTTGAGGTCATGCCACAGCATATCAATCAGGTTGAGGTCAGGACTCTGAATGGGCCACATCAGAATGCGTATTTTCTTCTGTTTAAGCCATTCTGATGTTGATTTACTTCTATGCTTTGGGTCATTGTCCTGTTGCAACACCCATCTTCTGTTGAGCTTCAGCTGGATGACAGATGGCCTTAAGTTCTCCTGCAAAATGTCTTGATAAACTTAATTAATATTTCCTTTGATGATAGCAATCCGTCCAGGCCCTGACGCAGCAAAGCAGCCCCAAACCATGATGCCCGCACCACCATACTTCACAGTTGGGATGAGGTTTTGATGTTGGTGTGCTGTGCCTTTTTTTCACCACACATAGTGTTGTGTGTTTCTTCCAAACAACTCTTTCGTTTAATCTGTCCACAGAATATTTTGCCAGTACTGCTGTGGAACATGCAGGTGCTCTTGTGCAAACCGTAAACATGCAGCAATCTTTGTTTGGACAGCAGTGGCTTCCTCTGTGGTATCCTCCCATGAAATCCATTCTTGTTTAGTGTTTTACGTATTGTAGATTCGCTAACAGGGATGTTAGCATTTGCCAGTGAATTTTGTAAGTCTTTAGCTGACACTCTAGGATTCTTCTTCACCTCATTGAGTACTCTGCGCTGTGCTCTTGCAGTCATCTTTACAGGACAGCCACTCCTAGGGAGAGTAGCAGCAGTGCTGAACTTTCTCCATTTATAGACAATTTGTCTTACCATGGACTGATGAACAGTAAGGCTTTTGGAGATACTTTTATAACCCTTTTCCAGCTTTATGCAAGTCAACAATTCTTAATCTTGGTTCTTCTGAGAGCTCTTTTGTGCGAGGCATCATTCACATCAGGCAATGCTTCTTGTGAAAAGCAAACCCAGAACTCGTGTGTGTTTTTTATAGGGCAGGGCAGCTGTAACCAACACCTCCAATCTCATTTCATTGATTGGACTCCAGTTGGCTGACATCTCACTCCAATTAGCTCTTGGAGATGTCATTAGTCTAGGGCAGTGATGGCGAACCTATGGCACGCGTGCCACAAGTGGCACGCCGGGCCCTTTCTGTGGGCATTCGACCATAGGTCACCGGGAGTGGGGAGACAGCTGGCGTGGGTCGGCATCAATGCAGAGTAGGCACCTGCCAGCTCAAAACGGGAGGACAGGAGAGCAGAAACATACAGCCACTTACCACCACGACTGTGTCCCCCCTCCTTCACTAAAGGTAAGAAGAAGGTGGGGGGGGGGGGATATAATGTTTAATGATTATGAAAATAAAATAAAAAATTGCTACCTGCAGCACCCCCCAACAGCATTCCTGCCCCTCACACTCCCCCCACTCACATAGCACCTCCCCCTCCACTCACACATAGCACCACCCACTCACACACAGGACCCCTCCACTCACACACAGGATCTCCACTCGCATACAGACCCCTCCACTACACTCAGCCCCCCTCTCCACTCTACACACACAGCACCCCCACCACACACACACACACACAGCACCCCCCCCCACTCTCACACACACACACACACACGGCCCCTTAGAGACACACGGCACGCCTCAGACACCCCTCACACACAGCAATCCGCCTCAGACACCCCTCACACACAGCAATCCACACCCTTACACACAAACACATACACTGCACCCCTCAATGCAATATATGTGTGTGTGTGTGTATTCATCAGTCTGTTTGTATGTATTCAGGGGACTGTGTGTGTGTGTATTCAGCGGACTGTATGTATGTATTCAGCGGACTGTGTGTATGTATACAGCAGACTGTGTGTGTATTCAGCGGACTGTGTGTGTATTCAGCAGACTGTGTGTGTGTATTCAGCAGACTGTGTGTGTGTATTCAGCGGACTGTGTGTGTGTGTATTCAGCGGACTGTGTGTGTGTGTATTCAGCGGACTGTGTGTGTATTTAGCAGTGTGTATATTCAGCAGTCTGCTGAGTACACAGACTGCCGAGTCCACACACAGACTGCCGAATACATGCAGTCTGTATGCATTCAGCAGACTGTGTACTCACCAGTCTGTGTATTCAGCAGACTGTGTGTGTATTCAGCAGAATGCTGAATACACACAGACAGACTGCTGAGTACACACAGACAGACTGCTGAATACACACACAGTCCATGTTGGCACTTTGAGGAAAAAAGTTCGCATGTATTGTGGTTTGGGCACTCGGGCTCAAAAAGGTTCGCCATCACTGGTCTAGGGGTTTACATACTTTTTCCACCTGCACTGTGAATGTTTACATGGTGTGTTCAATAAAAACATGGCAACATTTCATTCTTTGTGTGTTATTAGTTTAAGCAGACTGTGATTGTCTATTGTTGTGACTTAGATGATGATCAGATCACATTTTATGACCAATTTGTGCAGAAATCCATATCATTCCAAAGGGTTCACATACGTTTTCTTGCAACTTTAATGCAGAGTGTGTGTGTTTGTATAGTGTGTGTATATAATGCAATGTCTTTGTGTAGTGTGCATTATATAAACACACTGCATTATATACACACACTATGCAAACACACTGCATTATATACACAGTGTTTTTGTGTAGTGTATGTGTATATAATGGAGTGTGTGTGTGTGTATATAATCCAGTGTGTTTGTATAGTGTGTGTATATAATGTGTGTATATAATGCACACTACATTATACAAACACACTGCATTATATACACACACTATACAAACACAATGCATTATATACACAGTGTGTTTGTGTAGTGTATGTGTATATAATGGAGTGTGTGTGTGTGTGTGGGTATTTTATATCAAATTATAATTTTTTTTATATTTAATTATTATTTATTCTTGTTGTCCCCCCTCCTTGCTTGTTGCCTGGCCAGGGAGGGGGGAAATAGCATTCCATGGTGGCACAGCTGTGAGGGGGCGGGCAGCAAGCATTCACCTCATTTTACAGCAGCTCCTCCAGTTCCCCAGTGTAAGTCTTGCGCCCAGCGTGCCGCGTGGAGCGTTGCCATGGTAACCCGTGGCAACGCTCTGACGGCCTCGGGTCTCGTGGGCCTGACGGTCCTAGGAGGTATTATCTGCAATATCGGTATCTATATTGGCCGATACCGATATTGCCGAAAATACCGAATATCGGCGGATTATATCGGTAAAACCGATAATCGGTCAATACCTACTAGAGGGGCATCTCCAGGTAGAGCTGTGATTCTTGGCAGTGCATGCTGATAAACAGCAATAGAATGCCATACTATATATTGGAGCGCCTGGTTGGCACTGTTATACCCTACTAAGGCTGCTTTTGGTATCACTTATCTTTTAAAGAAGAGATTATATATATCATCGATCATTTTAATGGATTTATCATAAAGTATTTTGAATTTTAAGAAGTATGAGGAGTGCAGCCATCATCTTTGTGGTTTCTATAGCATGCTTGTCAGCTGGCTCATGCACCAGGCAATGCCTAAGGAATACGTGAGTGCAAGGATCAATTTTGTTTTTTATATATATATATATATATATATATATATATCTGTGACGGAACTCCTGTACTCCGACTGAGTACCTCCGCCCAGTCAACTTCCTAGACTCTTTCAGGGATCCTGGAATGCTTCAGCACCTGCTGCCAAAACTCGACTGTGGGCTCTCAGGAGCTATTCCACCCGGCCATACTGCTGCCCTGTTATTCCAGGCAGGTATCATTCCCTCTGCCATTTGCTCTTCAACTCCTTTACCTGCAGTTATTCACACCTCTGCCTGTACAAAGGCACTTGTGGTTCTCAGGCCTAGCTCTCTTTTACTTGTCCCAGGCTACATGGACCAAGCAGCCAGCCAACAGGTACGACAACTCTGTTACTGGGATCTCTGAACAAATCAACCAAGACACACAGTCAGTGGTGTATCCTGGTTTTGTGCTGCCCTAGGCAGGACAAAACTCAGGCACCCCCCTCCCCCCCACGCCACCCCCACCCAACCCTTCCCCCCCAGCCCCACCTTCTAAATACACACACACAGTCAGAGACACACACACACAGTCAGACACACACACACACAGTCAGACACATACACACACAGTCAGACACAAACACACACACACACAGTCAGACACACACACAATCACTCACATTAACGTTTTCTTTAATTTAACCCCCCCCAACCTCCTTACCTTTGGGAGTGCTGGGGGGGTCTCTCTCTTCCTGGTGGTCCAGTGGCTGCCGGTCGGGCTGGGCGGGCGAGGGATCACTTCCTCTGAGTGGTCTGCTCAGCTCCCTTGCGCGCCGCAGTGTGAGGCTGGGAGCTGGAAGATGACGTCATATTCCGGTTCCCAGCCTCACTCTGCAGGCGGCGCGTGAGGGAGCTGAGCAGACAGCTCAGAGGAAGTGCTCCCTCGCCAGCCGCCCACACAGCAGCCAGTGCCGCCCGCCCGCTCAGCAGGTCTGTTAGCCACAAAGCTAACTAGGCATTTGCCCTGGGCATTTTGGGGGTGGTGTTTTTTGCCGCCCACTGAAAAATGCCGCCAAAGGCAAATGCCTTGTTTGCCTCACAGCTAATACGTCCCTGCACACAGTTCCAAAAGGTACTAACTCAACACTTCAGACTGGGTTTTTTGCCTTCTTTTGGATCAACAGCAAAAACATATGTGTGGAAGGCTGAACTTGATGGATACAAGTCTCTTTTCAGCTATGTAGCTGTGTAACTATGTAACATACTTTATTTTTGAACAAGGACTAATTTTTGCTGTCTAATCTTTAAGCATGTGGTGAAAAACTATAAAAATATAAACAAACATACATAACGTGAACAAACAAACATAATAATATTGCATGACCTATATAATACAATCACAGTTTTCCAAACTATACAAATACACAGATGTACACATGCAACTGATTAGTTTTTTTGCACTTTCCTAATTTGCATATTGTATTTATACAAATCAATGCATTTTCAGTTTCACTAACTGAAAATGCATTGATTTGTGTAATGAAGAGTAATGGAGAGTCCTAACAGGCCTGAAAGAATCCCCTTAATTCCACAAGGACAGGGCCGGACTGGGACAACAATTCAGCCCAGGCAATTAAAGGCAGAGCAGCCCACTATTAGGGGGGTCAGAAAGGGGGCGTGCCATGTCACCACCATTGACATGCACACCCCCTCCCCCCCACCAAATGAGTATGTTAATGTCACGCTGTGATGGGATTCCAGCATGGTTAAAATTTAGTAGGCCAAAATCTCCATGTGGCATATGTGTATGTTGTGTCAGTTGGTTAGCTACATGTAGCTAGGATACTGTCATCAGTGTACTGAGCATGTGCAGGAATGCAGGAACTGAAATTGCACTTATTTCCTTTGTCTTGGATGGGCCATGTGGTTTGACTAGATGTACAAGTCTATATTCTGCTCATTGATTGGTTAAAGGTATATGTGGGTGTAGCTATTAATGGGAGGAGTTATGTGCCTATATAGGGAGCCTGCACTATTGTTCAGGGCTCAGAACTTGCTGTATTTTTGGTGACATTAGTCCCTCTGAGTCCCGATCGGTGATCCAATAAAGAATCTCCTCCTTCCTGAAGAAACCTGTGTCCATCTCTCTGTGCTTTGCTTCCGTCAGTTTCTCCGGTATCATTTGGTGCATTGGCCGGGAAACTCATCGTTCAACGGTAGCTGAGAGGCAGAGGCGTGAGACGGTCTATCTTTGCCCACGTTCTCTACGGCTGCACCCCTGAACTTCTGCGTGGACCTCCCTTCGTCTCGGCGCCACTGGTCTGTTGTCCAGGAGATCATCGGCCTCTACGTAAGAAGTGCTGGGGTGTCCCCGTCGATGAGTGTGAACTCAGGTTCAGGAACGAGGAGGTAAGACAACTGCTGTTTTAGACGGCAGACCCACTAGGGGTATACCGATTGTGCGGTAGGCCCAAAAGGGGTTTAAATCTGTGTATGGAATCTGCCCCCTCTGTCGGAGGGAAGGAGCGAAGGCGCACCGCTCGATCGAACGCTCTTTAGTAAGACCGTTTGATCTGGTTAGTCAGGCGGGGTCCTGTGTAAATAGCCCTAGCCGGACACCGGTGTCTTGTCTAGACTAGCGTTCTAGGGTGTATATTACGTTCGCTAGGTCGGAGGGACCGGGAGACTAAGCGGCGCCTGTGTAAATTCGGTTCGCTAGCTCTCAACCTATCTTGGCTAAGTGGGAAGGCGTGTAAATTTGGAACCCACTAGACTTTTGATAGAGTAAATAGACTAGAAGGGCAATTTCCGCCCTCTAGTTCGCTATATGTGGTGCTTGGGCAGTGTGGCTAACCAAAACGGGTGTATATAGTTTTAGGTAGTCTATTCAAGGTACTGGCCAATAGTTTAGTTGGGATTATTGTAAATGTTGTTAAATATATTGTAGTTGGTGAATTGGTTAACTTGTATGTCCTACTAGAAAGTTAGAGCTCTGCTGTCTAGTGGGAGTGTAAATTGTGTGTATAACTGTAAAATAGCGCACGGTACCATAACTACTGACATGTACCATAACCACTGACATTGTGTAAAAATTACTAACAATTGCTGTTTTATGTTATATGTATAATACCATAACTGTTACTAACTGATCTGTGACTTTAAAACTGTATTATAACCACTTACTAACTGTACCATAACCACTGACTGTAAAGATGAGGTTACTAGAATGTGATATAGTTGGTTAGTCAAAAGTTGATTTATAGTACAGATAATTGTAGAGATGAATTTGTTGAAATGTTATGTGATCGGTTAGTTTATATGGATTAATAGCGTGGATAGTTGTATGGTTTGAATAATAGTTACATTGATAAGTGTATAGTCTTTGGTGGGTTTTTGATTTAATTTCGTGTGTGCGACGTCGTGATATTGTTGAGCATGTGAGGATCCTGTGTGTGTGTTTGGGCCTAGTGACTGCGCAATGTGTTGCTGGTGATAAGGAGATTGGTGTGACTGTTGAAACTGTGTGTATATTTGTACAGCTTTTTGAATCAGACGTTCTGTTGAAATAATCTGATTCACTTGGCTGTTAGTCTTTTGTCTTGTATGTTTAAAAAAAAAAAAAGTAGGGAGTAGCTTGTCCTGGTGGCCGCATGGCCTCCATGTAGCAGTCTTCACTTAAATTTAGTGCAGAGTGTACATGTGGCTGTAACTAGTAGGCTGGAATTCTATGATCAGTTTCTATAAATTGACTGTTGGAAACTGATTGTTGCCTTGGTGAATTAAACTGTGTCATATGGGAAACAATGTAGCCACATGGTGGTCAGAACTAAGGACTTAATTACAACTGCTTTGGACATCCCCTCCCCCCCCCTGGCATCTGATTACCAACCCCCCAAACATCCTCCAGAGCCAGATTAGCCACGCCCATTTCTGGCTGGTATAATCAGTATTTGCACTCCCCCTGCTCTACTGTCCCCGCCTACCCACATACCTATCTGTTCCTGTGTTTCAAACTCTTGTATTTCTGTACTACCCCTCCCCCTAATCAATGATCAATGGTATCAAATGGTATATTGGTTTTTTTTTAGTTACTGGATGGGCCCCTCCCAGCT